CCCCCCACCCCGCTCCCCCCGCCTCGCCCCCTGGCCCCGCGCGCTCCCCAGCCCTCGCCCCTGCGCTCCCGCCCCTCGCTTTACGCTGCGCAGACTCTGCGCTGCCGGACGGTACTTCATCCACGGATGCGTAGGGGCGGCGCTGGCGGGAGAAGTAGGTCCTTGGCAGCGCGCAGCTTCTTGCAGCAGACTCAGTGAGTGTTGAAAGGCTCTTACCGTGCTACCTGGAGGCCTGTGGGCATGCCAGCTGACCCCGCTTGGTTGCCTTGTGGAAAGACTGGGCGGAGGTTACTTTTGACTGGAGGGTCCCCAGCGCCTCCTTTTACTCCAACCCACAAACTACCCTTATGGGCAGAGAAAATCGGTATCAGACTGCACACCTGTAATCTATTCATGGCACATGAGGCGGGAGGAGCTGTGGTTCTCACTTTAGCGGGCATCAGAATCACCTGGAGGGCTTATTAAACCATTGCTGGACTCCCCCCGCCCCCGTCCCAGGTTCTGGTTGAGCAGGTCTGGGGTGGGGTCTGAGAAACGGTATTTCTAACAAATTTCTGGGTTATTCTGCTGCTCAGGAACCAGAAGTTGAGAATCACTCTCATAGAGGTTAAACAAAGTGTTTTCTAAATACTCCTTTTAAAGCAACCCCTTCTCACTCCCCCTTATCCTGGTATTTATATATATATGCTTTTTGTCGGTCTTTGGTAAGATCCAGGAGAACAGGAACTTTGTTTTATTGTTGCTGTAGTTCCATCTTTTAGAACAGTGGTCTGGCACATAATAGGAGCTCAAAGATATTTGTTCCTTGAATGAACATGCATTTAGGAAGGTATCAGCCAAAACTGAAGCCATGAGAGTGAAAATCGTCACTCAGGAAGAGGGGGAAGAGTAAAAAGAAGGGCCAAGGGGAGACCCTAGCAGGCACGAACAATGGAATGACAGAAATAAGAAATAAGAGCAGAAGGCCAGGCGCCAAGCCCGGTGCAGCAGCAGCAGCAGCATAGACACCCACAGAGGAGAGATTTTCAGAAAGGGAGGGGACACCAAGGGTAAACAGCAGAGGTCATCTGAGATGAAAAGATTGAAAAATCCTTAAGATTTGTCAATTAGAAGATTCGTCACTGATGATTTTGGTAAAATTAACTTAAGATGTCCATAGTAGTAGGCTGATGGCTTTGGACTGAGTAGTAAATGGTGGATGAAAAAGTGGGAAAAAATGAGTGTGGACTGTTTTATTCAAGGATTTGGCCATGAAAGAATGGCTAGAGGGTGTAGGTCGAAAGAGTTTCTCTCTCTCTCCGTGTGTGTCTCTGTTGTGTGTGTAAGATAAAATTATGCTCTAATCCTTTTTATGTTAAAGGAAAGGAGTCTGTAAAGAGATACTGAATATATAACTATAATAATAACCAAAGATCATGGTCCTAGAGGAGTTGCGGGGATAGACCCAAGAGGAGGAGGGATGGCCACTCAGCCTCTGAGACCAGGAAGAAAGATATGGGGGTGGGGCTGATTTAGAGGCTGGGGCTGAAGTTGAGGGATTTCATATATGAGAGCCTCCATTTTCTCTGGGAGTCCGAGCAAAGTCATCTTCTAGTGGTGAGGCAGGAGTGTGTCAAGAGTTTAACAGGGACGGCAAAGGCGTGCAGTAATTGCTGTCAGAGACATCAGATGGCCCCAAATTGGGCATGATGTTAAAAAAAAACCAACTTGGGGAGGTAGGAGTGCTGTCTTTGTTCTGTCATGAACTTCTAACACCTACTCCCTCACTGCGTTTTCAAAAGATTCTCTCATACTTGTCATGAGGCATATATTAAAGTGTCAGAAGCTTAAGACACACACACACACACACACACACACACACACACACGCACGCACGCACGCACACGCGGAGAAACTCATTACTGGCTGTTTTCTAAGGCAGGAATGCTGGTAGGAGCAGCTGCAATGGAAATACACTCCCAGATGCAAGCAGGGTGGGAGGAGACCAGGTGCAGGCAGTTATTAAGAGGAGAAAAGTGGACTCTGGTCATCATAATAGGCTGCAGGATGGAAAACACGTTGGTCTGACTCACAGAGCTCTCTGGTTGTGGTATTTTTTATTAATTGCAGGATTCCAGGGAATGAACTCAACATACAACCCACTAAGTCTTTTTGATTTGTGTAACTACAAAAGCAAACAAAACACAATTCTAGATTTGGGGAATAGAGCCCTCTCATGAGTGAGAGACATGACTTGTGTCTATTCCCAGAACTATATCAGATCCCAGACCCAGAGCCTCTTCAGTGTAGCCTAAATGTTCTTAAAGATGAATGCTATTGGAATGTTGTACCTAAGTACTGCAAACCTTCATCCCAGCCTTTCCACAAAGGCCTTGCTTTCCTTTATGGATAACTTCTGGGAAAAAAGAGGAACTCAAACTTTTCAGTGATTATCACTACTTTCAAACAAACATTAACTTCTGGGACCCAAACTGTCACTGCTTGCAATCAACATTCTGAGATTATAGGGGTTAGGAGATAAATGAATTGAGTTCTTGTCCAAGTTCACCTTTGGGCAGGGCTAGTAGGCCTGTGAATTCATCCTATGGTTAGTACCCTAGTTGCCAAGTAAATAGCTGGAATAGGTAATCTTAGCAACTGATAGGATTCGTACATGGGCGCATTCATTGAGCAAGGTTTATTCTGGTAGAAAATGCCAATTGAAGTACATCAAAAGCATTACCACATTCCTGGAGAATTAGAGGTGTCACCATCAAAGGTGTGAAAGGGGCTGGTGTGATGGTTCCACCTCATTCCCACTCACTTCACAGTTTAGCCATCACGTACGTCTGACAGGTGTCAGAGGGTGACAGTACATTTCAAACCCAAACAAGTGATGATCCCAACTGTGGCTACCCTTCCAAATGGGGTCTCCTGATTGAAGCAACTCAGCCCCTGACAGTTTGCAGTTGTTGATCTGGGATTTAGCTCGAGTGTCTTTGTGAAAATCTCTCTTTTCACACTATGCACCAATAACTTTCTAGATTCAGTCAAAAGTTTTATGTTTTTGTTGCCTATAACTCTGTTATATCCTTGTTCATTTCTATCAGTTTTTTCACTTGGGGATCATAATTGTACCTTTCTCAGAGTAACTGGGAAGAAAATGAGATAATCCATGTAAAAGAGCATGTCATAAGTACTCACTATGTGTTATCTCAGATAAACGAGGATGAGAATCTGGGGTAATACGTTTTTTCAATTCATTGTTCATTTTACTGGAGTCGTTCTCAAGTTATTTAGTGAGATTGTAAACTTTCAGAATCCTTGCATGTCTGAAATGTCTTTCTTCCATTTGAGTGCTGATTTGGCTGGGTAAAGGATTCCAGTTTCAGCTTTGAAGATATTGCTCCATTGAGAAATCCAATGACAATCTAATTTCCACTGTTTTCTAGGTAACCTATTTCTATAAAAAATCTCTTGATTCTCTTTCTCCTAGTTTCTGTCTAGGATGGGATCTTTTTTTCATTAGTTATCCTAAGGATTCAGTGAGTCCATCTAATCTGAAGATGTGTGTTTTTCTTCAAATTTGGGTCATTTTTTTCCTTTTTTAACCTCCAATCCTCAACACCATTCTGTTGTTTCTGTAACATAGGTCATTCAGATGCTGGAGTGTCTGGATCCATTCTTCATGTCTCTTCATTTTCCTTGTTTTCTAATTTGCTATTTAGCCCTGCCCATTCTCCTAGAAACCAGCTCATCTCAATTTTCTGTCATTCAGAGATTCCTCAGTATTCTTAGTTCATCAATGGAACATTTTTGTTGCCTAGAGTTGTTTTTTTGTTTGTTTTTGGTATTATGTCATAGGATTTTATATGGAAGATAAGGTAGATGTGTGTGCTCTGGTTTCCTTCTTGATTCTAATGCCTTGGTTATCTTTTCGTTTGTCTTGTTCCTTTAATTGGAGTGTACATTTTAAGGTAAAAGCCTTTATACTATGCCTCTCTATTTACCTCTTAAACTACAAATACACCCTCTTCTTTAGTTTCCTAGCTCTTTTATCTCCAGTGGCACCTGGAATGTTCTCCACTCATTCAGAAAGCCCTCCTCGCCCCACCCTTCTCTCTTCTGGGAGCCTAAGTTGCATCTATCTAACTTAGCACTGATTCTCCAGGCAAGCACTGGAATTGCCTGAAATTTCCCCCGAATAGACGTAGACCTGCTGAATCAGAATTTCTGCTGATCAGACGTGGGCATTTTGTTCCCCCTTAAATAAGGTCCACCCTACCGACCGGCAGGCAGTTGGAGGAGAGGGAGCCTGCGAGCTTCTTAACCTGCCTGTGCCTCTGAATCA